CTTTGAAATCAGAAAATTACAGATCTGTTTTTAGGACTCTTTGAGGAGTTATCAAATTCTGTACATTTCTATCTAGTTGGGAGTTTTCTGTTCCTGGGTTATTTCTTTTGGCAATAAAATTTTAAGCAGTATATTAATGAGGATTATGTCCACCCACAAATCCTGCCAGAGTTCCATGTAATGTGGGAATCCCAGATCCACTAGAGTGTTGACTATTTATGGTCAGGACTCAAATTTATCTTTGTAGTTTCAGCTTTAAACAATGTGACTGCACCGAAAAAGGGCCTATAATAAAGGCTTCGTATATGTTTCTGAATAAGCAAATCTAGTTCTGGAAAGATTTAAGACTATGTTTTACTGAGTACATCATAATATAAATGAAGCATGTCATTGTGATCACCCTATTGGAAAAGATTAATGTATCAGAAAGTCAGCAGACTTGATGGCCATAAAACACTGAACACTTCAAATATTAAATGCAGCTAATCTTTCATAGGCTGACAGTGAAACTGGAAAATGGTAGTTCTATTTATCATTTATATAAGTCAAAAATAAATCTCATTCTTATTGTTAGCTATTAAAATAAGAGAAAATTTATTTCAAATATATACATCTTCCATTGTTCCTTCTGTCTCTCTCTCTTTTTTTTTTTTTTAAATGTTCAGGAGGAAGAATGAAGAAGCAAATTTTTCTTTTACTGTATTATTTACAAAGGGTCAGGTCTGAAATATCTATTTGGGGCCACAATTTAAATTTATACTATCACCTTGATGGAGAGCACTTTCACCTTGATTCCCAAATGACCTTGCTTAATTTCTATGGAGAGTCCTCACCACACAAAGGAAATATCTCTGACTTGCAATCACACTAGCATTCTGTGTTCATTTCCAAAGGAGATAAGTTTGTGTTGAGCCAGTCCCAGTCTGGGCCAATTCATCCTCCATGATCAGTGGCATGCCATTTGCAAGGTGGTAGATGGGGAGGCCTGTGAACAAGGCCCAGGGTTGTATTTTCCAATGAGGCTCAAGCCCAAGATTTGAGCTCTAAAACCCTAAGGATACACGTAAAGATTCTTCTGAGCACGTGCCACAAATTCACTACTGGGCACAAAGAAAACAGAATTTCACTGATGCATTTTCAGAATTATAATCAAGTTTGTTCTATTGCAGATACAACTGTTTTAGGGCTTTTAAAAATATCCCCCTAGCAATATAAACCCAATCGTATAAGGCTGGAACTATAGTGGCTGTCTTCAGTGCACAGTTTGACAGTTATCAAAGGCATTTATTAAAATTTTAGCATGATCTTGGGCTGGGTGGGCACAGTGTGACATAGAAGAGAAGTGATCAATGGCCTCTGGTGGCTTAGGATCACAGAGTTATTTGGAGGCTTAAAAATAATAAATTTTACAGTTTTAAAAAAATTCTCATCTTTGATGTTCCCATTGCTTGCAACTTGGAGCACTTACAAAAAAAATTTTTTTTGAAGCATATCTTCCCCTGGAATGCCTGGCTGGTTCAGCTGGTAGAGCATGTGACTCTTGATCATAGGCTCATGACTTCAAGCCCTACATTGGGTGTAGAGCCTACTTTAAAAAAACAAACAAAAAGGCAGCCCCTATGGCTCAGTGGTTTAGCACCACATTCGGTCTAGGGCATGATCCTGGAGACCCGGGATCGAGTCCCACATCTGGCTCCCTGCATGGAGCCTGCTTCTCCCTCTGCCTGTGTCTCTGCCTCTCTCTCTCTCTCTCTCTCTCTCTCTCTCTGTGTCTCTCATAAATAAATAAAGTCTTTGTAAACAAACAAAAAACTTCCCCTAATCTACGATTTTTTAAAATGTTTTGAAACAATATGTAACAGCAATATATTTTTAGTCTTTTGGTTTCTACAAAACATAGTCATCCCAGTCTTCCCAACAAAGATATTTAATGTACACTATACTAGTATAACAGCTGATGCTTACTGAGCCCTTATCATGTGCCAACTACTATCTCCCTGCATTTGTGCAATAATCCATGATGTAAATGCATTTTATAGATGAGGAAACAAAAGAGAGGTCAAATGGATAGAAATGTTTTAAAACTGGACTGTCATGATGGTAGTGTTTTTAGTTTAAAAAAAAATCACTGTACACTTGAATTAATGAACTTTGTTATGTAAATTACACCTCAATAAAGCCACTAAAGAAATATATATACACACCAAAAAGAGAAAAAGGAAGGAATCAAATGACCTGCTTAATAACATCTAGGAAATAAATATTTGAACCAGAGCCCAGGCACAGCTGGTCCAACTCCAGAGGCCATGCTGTACTGTCCCATTAAGAAAAAGAAATTCAGGTCAAGAGCATACACAGAAATGAAGACCCTGTAAGGGAAATGATGATTCAGACTTCACTAGCTCTCTATACAAGTCCTAAGTAAGTCAGGAATATTCAAGGACTTAGGGTCTTCAGTCTGAACTTCTTTGGTCTTGTTAGAATCTACACTGCAAACAAATAACTAACTTTCATTTTTTTTCTTCTCCAAATCAAGTAGGAAGTCACATGGTAAGATGAAATCGATATAGAAATGATTTGTTTTTAGAACTGTCATTTACTGGATGTGTGTGATGGCCCATACACTGTAACAAGATACCTTACATATATTATTGCTCATCATTACAATTGCTGCAAAATATCCCCATTTCACAACAGAAGGGCCTTGAAACTGAGTCACATATCTTTCAGATCATACAACTAAAAGGTGGCAAGATGAGATTCACCTTCCAGATCCCCAAAGTCACGTTCGTTCTTTCCATCATAACCCAAACTACCTTGTCTCTCCACCATCTTTTAAGACTGTATTACTTTAACATCAGTATGCAAACTTATTAAAAGCAGAACTATCATATTCTCTTAAAGATAATTTTAGAAAAGCTCATGACACTTCAACTTAAGTAAAATATACTCAAGTAGAATTATTCTCATTAAAAACAAAAAACAAAACAACAACCTTTAATTCCTTCAAGTAATTACTTCTGACTTTCAAAAAAATGTTGCTTTTATGTGATAATCCTTAACATTGAAAAAATCAAAAGGTTTATTTACTCACTTGTCATTCTTTTTATTCTTTCAGAATCCGAATCATTCATGTTACTAACAAAGAATAAAACAAAGTACAAAATTAACCACTATTTCATCTCTTTTTTTCAAAAGATTGGAAATGATTTCACAATACCAATATTGAGGGAAAATTTTCAAAAATTATATTGAAACAGTGTCTGAAAGGAAGATAGAAAATACTGATTTTGATTAAATAATATATAGAATACCACCTTTAGTCATTTTAGCTAAACCCAAACCTTTTATTTTTACCAATTATAAAAATAGTTTTGTCTAAAAAAAGAAAATCTAAGTTGTCTGATACCTTTCCTTATCTTAAACATAGTTTTCTGAAAATCAACTTTTTCTTGATTAATCATGGTCATCTTTATAAACATCCCTCAGGGGCAATTCAACTGGGAAGGGCTATTTCTTCCTGTGGTTTTCCTGTCTCTCCTTTCAGAAGCCACTACCTATAAAGTCTTTACTTGCAAGTTTGTTGTAACAACTAGTAGGCATGGCTAGAAGCCTGAGGAGCTCTCCAGAGCTTCAGGGCATGAACTCTCCAGGGCACCTGAGGAAACAGTGTTATCAGAGTTGAAGTGAACAGGTGTGGTGTTTGCCAAGGAAGCCTCAGCAGGTGCAAAGGACCCCACAGTAAAAAGCAAAATCTGGAAAATTAAGGGAAGAGAGGCTAGATTGGTTGTCTCTGCTAAAGCAATACATTTTTTTATTTTATTATTTTTTATTTTTTAATAATAAATTTATTTTTTTATTGGTGTTCAATTTGCCAACATACAGAATAACACCCAGTGCTCATCCCGTCAAGTGCCCCGCTCAGTGCCCGCCACCCAGTCACCCCCACCCCGGCCCTCCTCCCCTTCCACTACCCCTAGTTCGTTTCCCAGAGTTAGGAGTCTTCCATGTTCTGTCTCCCTTTCTGATATTTCCTACCCATTTCTTCTCCCTTTCCCTCTATTCCCTTTCACTATTATTTATATTCCCCAAATGAATGAGACCATATAATGTTTGTCCTCCGATTGACTTATTTCACTCAGCATAATACCCTCTAGTTCCATCCACGTCGAAGCAAATGGTGGGTATTTGTCATTTCTAATGGCTGAGTAATATTCCATTGTATACATAAACCACATCTTCTTTATCCAGTCATCTTTCGATGGACACCGAGGCTCTTTCCACAGTTTGGCTATTGTGAACATTGCTGCTAGAAACATCGGGGTGCAGGTGTCCCGGCGTTTCATTGCATCTGTATCTTTGGGGTAAATCCCCAACAGTGCAATTGCTGGGTTGTAGGGCAGATCTATTTTTAACTCTTTGAGGAACCTCCACACAGTTTTCCAGAGTGACTGCACCAGTTCACATTCCCACCAACAGTGTAAGAGGGTTCCCCTTTCTCCACATCCTCTCCAACATTTGTGGTTTCCTGCCTTGTTAATTTTCCCCATTCTCACTGCTGTGAGGTGGTATCTCATTGTGGTTTTGATTTGTATTTCCCTGATGACAAGTGATGCAGAGCATTTTCTCATGTGCATGTTGGCCATGTCTATGTCTTCCTCTGTGAGATTTCTCTTCATGTCTTTTGCCCATTTCATGATTGGATTGTTTCTTTGGTGTTGAGTTTAACAAGTTCTTTATAGAACTTGGAAACTAGCCCCTTATCTGATACGTCATTTGCAAATATCTTCTCCCATTCTGTAGGTTTTTGAGTTTTGTTGACTGCATCCTCTGCTGTGCAAAAGCTTCTTATTTTGATGAAGTCCCAATAGTTCATTTTTGCTTTTGTTTCTTCTGCCTTCGTGGATGTATCTTGCAAGAAGTTACTGTGGCCGAGTTCAAAAAGGGTGTTGTCTGTGTTCTCCTCTAGGATTTTGATGGAATTACATTCTTTTTTTTGGAAGTGGTTAGATCATCTTACCTCTTCAGCCTCAAAAGGTACTGCGACACCCAGGCAGGAAAAAACTTGTGCTTTGAAATCATCTTCAGTGCCCAGAATTGCTAAATTAAAATGCAGTAATAGGCTGCTTATTATATTAATATTAGTGCTATTTAACTTCGTTACTTTAAATTATATTCTTTAATAATAACTTGTAATATCCAGATTTTTAAGGCATGCTATTTCAAGTAAAAGTAGTACCAAAAAAGAACAATAATTTTCTTTTTTACATACATATATTAAATATATATTTTTATATCAACTCTAAAATTCTAATTCATGGAAATTCACATAATGGCATGATTTAAGATTAACAAAGTCCTTATAAGATCACACATGAATACTTAAATTATCCAAAAGCCTTCCTTTGGGCAGCCCTGGTGGCTCAGCGGTTTAGCGCCGCCTTCGGCCCATGGCATGATCCTGGAGACCCAGGATCGAGTCCCATATCTGGCTCGCTGCCTGGAGCCTGCTTCTCCTTCTGCCTGTGTCTCTGCCTCTCTCTCTCTCTCCCTGTGTCTCTCATGAATAAATAAAAATAAAATCTTTAAAAAAAAAAAACAAAAGCCTTCCTTTAAATAATGTACGATTTGCTTTAAAAAAAACTTAATTTAAAAAAAAACTTAATTTGTAACTGCATTTTGTTTAATCATCTATTTAATTCATTCAACAAATATTTATGGAATGTCAACTTTATGATGGGAACTATGTTAGGTGGGAAGGATATAAAAATTAATAAGACATGATCCCAGCCTAAGGAAAGTGTGTAAACAAATAATTCAATGTCATCTTAGAAGTGTTATAGAAATGTACATAAAAGGCTAAGCAGTTAGCTCAGCCTGAAAGAGAGTTGAAAAGCTCTCATGTCCAAAAGACACAAAACTACTGAAATAATTAAAAGTATAATGATCTCTTCCCACTTAAATTGTCCCAAATCTTAGAAACTTAAATATTTATACCTGTTAATAACTTGAACAAGTCACTTTAACTTTATTTTTCCTCCAGTTTATTCCGCTACTGCAATGATGACACCTGGACTCAAATGACATAGGACCTTAATTCCTTATTACATAACCCATGGTGACTGGCTAGGTGGAGGGACAGAGGGAGGAAATGTTTACCCTTTGCATTCTCCCTGGACTCCCATTTGTAGTTTAGTCAAGATGAAGTGATCTATGGTGGGAGCAGGAGCTACTGTGCTTGAGAATTAGGAGGCCCAGAGAGGGCTTCCTCAGTGCTCAAGGCATTCTCTAACATGAAATTCTATAAACTAAGCGCTCCATAGCATGGAAATGACTTTAGAAGGGGCCTCACCAGGCATGAGTTAGCATGGGAATTGAATCCTACTGTTTTTCTATTGACAGAAAATAAATTGAAAGCTAAGAAAAATTTACTTTTATTACTATATTGAGCTACTGATAGAGAAAGGTTTACGTGAATTTGATGCAGATATTACAGGGGTTAAGAACATGGACTCTTGAGAAAGCTGCCAGCGTTGGAATCCCACCAGACATTAACTAATTATGTCACCGGGCACTGGTTACATAACCTCTCCATGGCTCAGTTTCTTTATCAGTAAAATAGAGATAATAGTAGTACCCACTCATGTCATGGCACAGATTATACATATAAAATTCTTAGGATAGTGCCTGGAACATAATAAGCACTCAATAAATATTAGCTATTATTTTTGTTATTATTTTTACATATTTTGTGAAGCATTTACTATAATGCTTGTCCCAGAGTAAGCTCCCAATAATAGTGGGTTCTCAGGGCACCTGGGCTCAGTTGGTTAAGTGTCTACCTTCGGCTCAGATCCTGATCCCAAAGTCCTGGGATCAAGCCCCACATTGGGCTCCCTGCTTAGCAGGGAGCCTGCTTCTCTCACTCCCTCTACCCTCCCCGCCCCCATTTGTGCTCTCTCTCTCAAATAAATAAATAAAATCTTTAAAAAACAATAATAGCAGGTTTTCTTTTTTTTTAATAGCAGGTTTTCAATAAGTGCTTTTTGAAAAAATGCATTTCTGAAGCTATAAAAAGATAACATCAACTAGGTAGAGAATGTCATGAAATATAATGAAGAGATTGAAATTTTTTTAAAAGGCTGAATTTTATTCTCAAAAATAATATAAACAATGATTACAATATAAAATACTTAAACCTGTTCAAAATTGAGTCACTTGTGCTAAGGCCACATCACCAAGCCGAAACTTAATATCTAACCTAATTGTAGTTTCAACCTCCCCCAAGAATATAATCTTAACCGGTCAATCAGAAATTTCCTGGTCAGCAGTAGTGAGGTAAGCCACCTGATAAACACTTTCTTACCCCCCTCCCAAAAAACATGATGTAATCTGCTCTTTCCTTGTCCCTGTCCTCTTTTGCCTATAAGAGCCTCCCACTAAAAAAAAAAAAAAAAAAAAAAAAAAAAAAAGCCTCCCATTTTGTGCAACATCTCAGAGCTCCTCTCTATTTGCTAGATGGGATGCCCCACAATTCATGAATCACTGAATAAAGCCGACTGAATCTTCACATTTATTCAGCTGAATTTTAATTTTTGATAGACCTTAGAAATAGATTTGTCTCTAAAAATCTGTAATAAGTAAGAGTCTTCTGGTAATATCCATAATATTCCATAAATGCAATGTATTTATGTTGAAATAAAAAGGCAACACATACTTTTAAAACTGAATTAAATGCCACCACTTTAGAAACACTTTGGCAGTTTCTTTTTTTTTAATTTATTTTTATTTATTTATGATAGACATAGAGAGAGAGAGAGAGAGAGAGAGAGGCAGAGACACAGGCAGAGGGAGAGGATAGAAGCAGGCACCATGCCGGGAGCCCGACGCAGGACTTGATCCCAGGACTCCAGGATCGCGCCCTGGGCCAAAGGCAGGCGCGAAACCGCTGAGCCACCCAGGGGTCCCCTGTTTCTTAAAGAATCAAGCACACATTTACTAAACAATACAGCAATTCCACTCCTAGTATCTATCCAACAGAAATAAAAACATATGTTCACCCAAAAACTTGTAGGTGAGTGTTCAGAGCAGTATTTATTCACTATAGCCAAGAAGTGGAGATGACCCGAATGTCCATCAACTGGTAAATGGATTAGCAAAAGATGGTATATCCATACAGTGGAGTACCAAACAGTGACAAAGAGGAAAGAACCACTGAGACAGGTAATAACATGGATGAACCTCAAAACTCGGCTAATGAAGAAGCCAAGTGCAAATGACCACATATTGTATGATTCCATTTATAGGAAATGTCTAGAAAGTGAAAACCTTGAGACATAAAGTAAATTAGTAGCTACTTCGGGCTAGGAGTGGAAACAGGGATTAACTGCAAATAGGCACAAAGGATCTTTTTTTTAGGGTGATGGAATTGTTCCAGAATCAAATAGTTGTGATAAATGCACTGATCTGTAAATTATAAAAAATCATTGAATTATATGCTTAAGGCCAGTGAAATTTTATGGCATGTAAATTATGCCTCAATATATCCCTTAAAGAAAATTTAATTAAGAGAATACCAAATGTCAAAAATTACTACCTGGGGAATGCTGAGCTCCTCTAACTGGCTTTGAGTAATCTCACTGAGCTGCCGAAATGTCATTGTAAAATCAGCTTCTGTCTTTTCCATGAGCTAAGGAAAATAATTATATTTATCAATTTCAATTCTTCAAGAATATGCTGATTAATAATTAAAATGTTAGTCAAGAAAAAAAAGATAAAATGACAAACTCACATGTAATAGAACTGCAATTAAATCATCATCATCCTTCCTTTCCCCAAGTAACCCCAGTTTGGCTTTGAACAATTCTCTAAATCTGAAAGAGAAGTGTCAGTTCAGTTCAACTCTCACTATTTTGCGAACTGTCCTCAAATCAATCAGGATCTTTCAATATCTCTATTCAAAAGGACAAACCTTGTATAATAAAGAAAAGGATACCCCTCAAGAATCCGAGTGGCTCTACGGGGGGGGGGGGGGGGGGGGAAGGAAGGACAGTTAAATCTTGATTTCAAATTAACATTCTTGAATTACACTTTACAAGAACAAAAGTGAACCTTTTCACATATTAAATATAAATATAGTCATATTTATCAATCTTGGTTCACATATTTCATAAAAATGTAAAGATTAAAGCATTCTTAACCTTAAACTTATCTTTAAACTAAGTTTCTATTTCTTAGTATTCTTTAATATATTTTAAATCATACAAAAGCTCAAATCATTCTGAAGCTCCACACCCTTTACCTTACTAACCTCATCCCTTGTAAGTCTTCTCCTTGCTCATTCTGAGGCAGCCAGAGGATGCTTCTTGCTTTTCCTTAAATTCCCCACACACAACTGCTCCAGGCCTTTGCACAGGCTGGTCCCGTGCCTGGAACACTCTTCCCCCAGGTATCTATGCGGCTTGCTCCTGTGATTTCTTCAAGCCTTTGCTTGAGTGATCACCCTTTTAAAACTGCAAACCCTTCCCTCCCTTTATTCCCTATCTTCTGCTTTATTCTTCTTCATTGTATGTATCTCCTTCTAATAAGCTATGTAACTTATTTATTCTGTTTGACTGTCTATCCCACCAGAATAAGCACCACAAGGGCACAATTATTGTGCTGTTTGATTCATTGCTATCCCCTTAGCACTTAGAGCAGTGTCTGGCACATACTGAGCACTTCAATAAACATTTGTTGAATGAATAAATGAACTCTGCAGGGCAAAAGTGATACTAAATTAATGGAGACAAGAATGACTACTTGATAAATATTGTTTATATTGCTTTGATTTTTTAACTATGATGTATTACCAATGTATTTTAAAATTACATTAAATTAGTTAAGGAAACCATATATGGAATATAAAACTTTAATGTTTATTGTAGTAACTCTTTTTGCTACCTGGGGTTAATGAAATCACTATATGCTTTGCCTTCCACTTGTTGTTCTGGAAATGGTCAGTGGCGGTGGAGAATACAGTAGTTTCCACATCAACAAAGGGGGTGATGATAAATGAACTGCCCACATCATAAAAAGATAAGGAAAGTGGGGAGTGGGAACTGATACATAAAATAAAGGATGATGTAAGATAGGAATAAAAGAAATGAATTGTTACAATAAATGTGAACAGCCTACATACTTCTATTAAGACAGAAACCATCACATTGAGTTAAAACCTGGCTGTAGGTACTGTTTGCTCTTATAAGACACAAACCTTTTTTTTTTAAGATTTTATTTATTTATTCATGAGAGACACAGAGACAGAGGGAGGGGCAGGTTCCATGCAGGGAGCCCGACATGGGACTTGATCCTGGAACTCTAGGATGACACCCTGGGCCAAAGGCGGCACTAAACTGCTGGGCCACCCGGGCTGCCCAAGAAACATACTTTAAAACAAAGTGATTAAGTCAATCGGAGAAAGACAAACATTATATGGTCTCATTCATTCGGGGAATATAAAAAATAGTGAAAGGGATTCAAGGGGAAAAGAGAGAAAATGAGTGGGAAATATTAGTGAGGGTGACAGCACATGAGAGACTCCTAACTCTGAGAAACGAACAACGGGTAGTGGAAAGGGAGGTGGGCAGGGGGTTGGGGTGACTGGGTGATGGGCACTGAGGGGGGCACTTGATGGGATGAGCACTGGGTGCTGTACTATATGTTGGCAAATTGAACTCCGATAAAAAAATATACAAAAAATAAATTTAAAAAAACAAAGTGATAAAAATGGTAAAAAACTGCAATTGCTATCAAAGTACCATTGACATTTTTTCACAGAGCTAGCACAAATAATCTTAAAATTTGTATGGAACTGTATGGAAGACTTTGAATAGCCAGAGGAATGTTGAAAAAGAAAGCCAAAGCTGGTGGCATCACAAGCTAGACTTCAAGCTCTGTTACAAAGCTGTGATCATCAAGACAACGTGGTACTGGCACAAATACAGACACATAGATCAATGGGACAGAATAGAGAACCCAGAAATGGATCCTCAACTCTATGGTCAACTCATCTTCAACAACCAGGAAAGAATACCCAAAGGGAAAAAGGCAGTCTCTTCAACAAATGGTGCTGGGAAAATCAGACAGCCACATGTAGAATGAAACTGGAACATTTTTTTACACCGTACACAAAAATAGACTCAAAATGGATGAAAGACCTAAGTGTGAGACAGGAATCCATCAAAATCCTAGAGAACACAGGCAGCAACCTCTGTCACCTCAGCTGCAGCAACTTCTTACTAGACACATCTCCAAAGGCAAGGGGAACCTCCTGGAAATTCCTCAGGAAGTTAAAAACAAAGCTACCCTACAACCTAGCAACTGCATTACGAGGTATTTACCCCAAAGATACAAATGTAGTGATCCAAAGGGGCACCTGCACCCCAATGTTTATAGCAGAGATGTCCATAATAGCCAAACTATAGAAAGAAATCCAGATGTCCATTGACAGACGAATGGATAAAGAAGCTGTGGTGTGTACATATATATACATACAACGGAATATGACTCAGCCATCTGAAAGGATGAAATCTTACCATTTATGTTGATGTGTTGGAACTGGAGGGTACTATGCTGAGCAAAATAAATCAATCAGAGAAAAACAATCATCATATGGTTTCACTCATATGTGGAATATAAGAAATAGCACAGAGGATCATAGGGGAAGGGAGGGAAAATGGAATGGGAAGAAATCAGAGAGGGAGACAAACCATGAGAGACTCTTAACAATGGGAAAGAAACCGAGGGTTACTGGAGGGGAGGTGGGTGGGAGGATAGGGTAACTGGGTGATGGGCATTAAGGAGGGCACATGATGTGATGAGCACTGGGTGTTATATGCAACTGACAAATTACTGAACTCTACCTCTGAAACTAAAGATGTACTATATCTTGGCTAATTGAATTTAAATTTTTTTAAAAGAAAGCTAAGGGACGCCTGGGTGGCTCAGTGGCTGAGTGCCTGCCTTCAGCCCAGGGCGTGATCCTGGAATCCCGGATCGAGTCCTACATCGGGCTCCCTGCATGGAGCCTGTTTCTCTCTCTCTGCCTATGTCTCTGCCCCTCTCTCTCTCTCTCTGTGTGTCTCTCATGAATAAATAAATAAATAAAAATCTTAAAAAAAAAAAAGAAAGCTAAAAAACAAAGTGAGACTCAAGGCAAATCCAACAAAAAGAAAACATGAATGGCAATATTAGTATCAGATAAATTGAAATTTGGAATTAAAAGGATAAATCAAGATCTCATGTTAGGCTAAAAGGCACATTTTTTTTTTATTTTAGGGAAACAAGTAAAAACCTGTATGTACCAATAATACAATAGCAAAATATGTAAATTTAAAACAATTAGAAAAAATTACTTAGTAAAAATACAATTAAAGTGGGAGATTTTAATATACATCTCTTATGAATAAAATTTATCAAATAGATTAAAAAAATAGAGTCATAAACATCTTGAATAATACACTCAATACACTCAATTTGATATAGTAAAACCTCTGTCTATGGAGTATACATTCTTTTGTATTAACCATACCGAAACATGCACAAAATTCATTATCTTGGGGCCATAAAGAAACCTTAACACATTTTAAATAGATTTTGCCAAACACATATAAAAATATGTGGATAAAATAAGTCTAAAAATTAGATATTAGGAAAAACAGTGATAAATAACCCTTAGATCAAAGAAGAAATAAACTAAAATTTCACAACACTTAGAAAGCAATAAATAGGGAAACACTTTATCCTGATAACTATGGGAAAAAGGCAAACTGTACTAGAGAAAAATGTACAGTTTGAAATGCCTTCATTATTAAAGACTAAACAATAAGATGGCTTTTAAAATGTTAGCTTCTGGTTTTTTCAAAAAATGATCATTATACAAATATATTTTCACACAGATTTAAGTAGTGGATTTAGAATTTACTCACAGTTGCTTTTGCCTAGGATCCAGTAATGGGTTTAAAGCTTGCAACAACTTGTTTAAATTAAACATCCCAATATTGGCCTGATTTCCTATTTTACATCTTCTTTCATCATCAGATGTGTTTGGGACAAAATCTGTTTAAAACAAAAAATACTAGCATTTTATCATGGGGATGATTATAATAAATAGCCTCTCCCTAAGTTTATATTTAAACTTAATAAATTTATATTCATTAGATATATTTATATTTATTAAATTTTTCTGACATTAAACATTAAACTCAAAAGTCACAAAAACGCTTACTATTTATACATATGAAATTATTTTAAAATATGAATTATTTGCCTACTAGAGGAATACAATTCCAACATGTAAGAATTTTCAGGTGATCATACATGAACTTCAAATTTCACTTCAGGTGGCACATCCTCCACAAAGCCTGGTAAGATCCCTTCTTATAAGTATTGGGTTACTATGACCTCCATTTTGTAAGTTGGTAAGGTGAGAAGTTAAATAACTTGCCACTGAGGCCCAGATGCCAGAAGTTACACCTGCATCTGTCTCACACATATCTCCTACCACCTTCCCTGTCATCTCTAATATGTAATTCCATAAGGGTAGAGACCACAAAAGACTCATTTTTGTATCCCTATAGCATCTAGAACATTGAGCACCACAAAAAAAAAAAAATACCATTTTATGAGTCAACCTAATTCTTCTACTACCACACCACTGTATTAGCTGTACAATTTATCTGAAATAACCCTGTGATAATTTCTTAGTGAAATAAAATACATGTGTGTATACACACACGTATTTACACATAAAGCACACATACCTGGGTTATAGGCTTCCATAAAACCAAATGGGCCATAGTCAATTGTAATGGATAACAAACTGAAGTTATCAGTATTACAAACACCTGAAACCACAACAAAAAGATTTCAAAACCATGGTAATAAAATAATAAAGCATTTTTAAATGTATAAAATTATCCAGAATAGGAAAGGTAATTGAAATGCATTTGTTTTAGAAATGACACAAAATTAGACTATCAATTGAAAGTTTCACTGGTGATGTCAAATAGCATAATACACATTAAAACTATATCTTTTAACCAAATTTAGCCTTTTGTTTTAGACCCCACCCCCACAAAGATTTCAAATACTACAGGAACAAAAGTCCCAAGAAAGAAATTTTCCTCTTACTTATCCTCAATTTCTTGCCTTTGTTTTAAAAATAAATGTTGCTTGGAATAGAAGTGAAACTGGTAAAGGTAAAAGATTAACTCATTTTCAAAGGTTGGGAAAGGGGGAAAACATGGATATGCACTCTGGTTACAGTCATCAGCTGCAGACCACTGGCAGAGTGGAGAGGGAGTGTATCGTCCTTCCTCCACACCCTAGGCAAGGGCACTATGGCTGGCAACAGGAGTGTGGGGTAGGAGGAAGCCAGGGAATGGATATGCCAGCATAATACAGGATATTTGGCCACTGTGTCCAATATAGGGTTTTAACCTTTTTCAGAGCATGATGGCCCTGCATATCAAAATGTTAAATGTACAGACTCTCTAACCCAGCCATTCCACTTTAGGGGTTTGTCCTCAAAAAATCACCTTCAAGAATACAAAGATATAGTTGCCTGGTAGTCACTTGGTATAGTTCATCATAGCAAAAACTCTAAAACACCTACCCTACTCTCCCAACCCTAACCCACCCCAAGAGAGATATGCGGAGGATGCCTGTGATAAGGGACGCGGATTTCAAAAAGTTTTACAATAACCATTTTATGAGTCAACCTAATTCTTTCTACCACCACACCACTGTATTAGCTGTACAATTTATCTGAAATAACCCTGTGATAATTTCTTAGTGAAATAAAATACATGTGTGGGATCTCCTTTTCATATTTATCTAGAGACACTGGTACATACGATTTGTTTTCCATAGGAAGGAAAAACAAATTCCTTCCTATGCAACTTCACACTCTAAACGGCTTCAAACATACAAGCCAGCCCTGCTTTTTTCACAGGAGGTATATGAATATCATCCCAAAAAAAGTCCAAAAGGATTGATATGAAATGGTTAATAATGATTACCCTGGGGAATGGAATTCACACTCACTTCTGTATACTTTCAATTCTTTACCATAAGCATTCAGTGCTTTTATGATTAAAATTTTAGGGACTGCCTGGGTGGCTCAGCAGTTGAGCATCTGCCTTTGGCCCAGGGCATGATCCTGGGGTCCCAGGATCGAGTCTCACATCGGGCTCCCTGTGTGGAGCCTGCTTCTCTCTCTGCCTGTGTCTCTGTCCCTCTCCTGTGTCTCTCATGAATATATAAATAAAATCTAAAAAAAAAAAAAAAAAAAGATTTTAAAAACAGCTTTAAAGAGTTCTAAATATGTAGCCACAAGGTGGCTTTACAGGCTAGGGCACCTGGGTGGCTCAGTCGGTTAAGTGTCCAACTCTTTTTTTTTTTTAAACATTTATTTATTTATTCATGAGAGACACAGAGAGAGAGAGAGAGAGGCAGAGACACAGGCAGAGGGAGAAGCAGGCTCCCCACAGGGAGCCCAATGTGGGACTCTATCCTGGGTCCTGGGATCAGGCCCCAAGCCAAACGCAGATGCTCAACTGCTGAGCCACCCACATCCCATGTGTCCAACTCTTGATTTCAGCTCAGGTCAAGATCTTTGGATCCTAAGATGGAGCCCAGCATTTGGTGGTGGTCCTCTGGTACAGCACTCAGCAGGGGAGTCTGCTTCTCCCTGCAGCTCTTCTTCTGCCCCCTCACTCATGCATTCTCTCTCTCTCTCAAATACATAAATAAATAAATAATTTTTTTAAAGAAAACTTTACAGGTAATAACATCCTCCTCGATTTGAGGATGCTTATTCTATTTTGTGCATACTGTTCCATTCAAAACCATTTTAAACACAAGAACATTTTTTTCTCTGCTGCTAAAAACAAATTCATACACCGTAAAAGTTTAAGAAGCTCATCAGCGGGAATATTTTGAAGTACAAGAAAGAAGTCTTCTGCTTCAACAAATTAACTCTACTTTCCCATCAGAAAAATGAAACATCAGTAGATGACTTACCATGAGCAAAACCAACAGACATCCACAAGGCAATGAGTTGTGCCGTCTCTGATACCACAACAGAGAAAAAGTCCTAAAATAAAATTCAGAAATTTTTCAGATTTTCAGGAATGTGTACTGTTTTAGGATCTTCTGATAAGTCACAAGGAGAACATGGAAAGAATTCAGAGTGCTAAAGGTTGACTAAAGGAATGGAAATTAGCAGGGGTAAGAAAAAAAATGGAAGAATGTGGAATTAGTCATCGAGAAATAATATATAAAGTCTCAGACACAGTATTATGGCCAGGCTTTTTCCACTTCCAATAAGAACAGGAAAAGCATGAGCACTGAGTATTATACTATCTGTCTGCAAATTGAATTAAAAAAAAAAAAAAACAAGAGCATTAGAATTCAGCACAAGGGAGTTAAGTGTAAGCAAAGTAAGTTCTTAACCTTTAAACTGAGTCACCAAGAAAAATAATAGAATTCCCTTCTCTAGCTGCTAAGAGAATGAAAGAGGGTTACAAAGACCAAATCATTTCCATGAGAATAGGAAATCACATTTTTCTGTCATGTATTGTGTTTTAGAACTACTTAGAAATATCGATATATCTCATGTGTGAGAAACAATACATAAGACCAAGTTACAAAACATATGTGCAAAACATAACATCTAGAGTTTGGATGTGGTAACACCTGTTCTTTTTCTCTGAATACCTCTCAAACAAAACAACGTTCTTATCTGTGTCTTGTTTATGAAGTGGTTCACCTTCTCCTCTGACAAAACGTTCAAAGTGCTCTACATCATCTTTCCTACTTTTAGTTAAGCTCTAAGTTATAACTGTTGATATTGGCAGGCAATGAGAGAAACCGAGTACTGTCCTTTCTCTTTAAAAACTTACCACGTATCTGTTAGGTACTGTGACCTTTACGGAGGGGAAATGCTCCTGTATGATGAAGTCTAATAATGTCCTGGAGAGAGAGGACAGGGCATCAGTGTTCCCCAGTATCAAATCATCCCAATCTGCCCTTGACATTCAGGAATCTGTTATATTCAAGCTTAAACTTTTTAAAATTAAACCAAGATTTTACTCTCAAAACAGCCATAGAGAAATACTTCCTCAAAACCAGTCAAAACTGGAAATGTGTTTATGGGGCACCTGAGTGGCTCAGTTGGTTAAGCATCTGCCTTCAGCTCAGATTATGATCAGGGTCCCAGGATCAAGGCCTGAGTCAGGCTCCCTGCTTAGCAGAGAGTCTGCTTCTCCCTCTGCCCCTCCCCTGCCTGTGCTCTCTTTTTCTTTCTCTAATAAATAAATAATTTTTTTAAAAAACTGGAAATGTCTTTCTAAGACAGTATTAGATTCCATCATGTTATATTACAAACGCAGATTAGTTCAATAAATACCCAGTGTGTACCTACTGTACATACTGTACACCATGCCAGGTGCAGGCACAGGGGGAAAATATGCCAATACCCAGACTCAGAGGACCCACGCCTCAGGGAACACAGAGCCCATCGGGGAGAAGAGCACACGAAGAAGTAATGACATTACAGTGTGACACATGCAATAATAAAACTATATAAAAGATATAAAGATAACAGAGCAGGAAACAATTATTTATGTCTGCAGGGTTACATAAGGCTTCACAAATGGGGGTGGCAAAAAAATTGGCCAATGTTTGAAAATAGGGTATTTAAGGTGTCTGTGTATCATATTTTTTATTTCCTATTTTAACTGATTAGTCAACTAACTAGTAGTGTTTAATGCATTGGATGAGAAAGAATCCAGAAGAAAATTGGACCTTGTGGATATGACTTGGGAATTACTGAAAGACAGTCAAAAACAAAAGGAATGGATTAATGTTTGTGTATATGTATTTTTTTCTAATCATTTAATAATTTATTATGTGAGTAACTGTTTATATGTCAAGAACTGTTTCAGGCATTTGGGAAACAAACAGGAATATACATGTGGCTATGCGAGCCAACAGAGACATTTTTCAGGACGAGGTGGTCACTAATATATATCAAATGCCAGAGAGATAAGTGAACAATAATGGAAGTATTACCAGTATGACATTGATGGAAAAATGTCAGTGACACTGTGAATCCAAGCAGAAGTGACCCAAAAAACAAATGAGAAGTTAGAAATAATGCCCAGTGAGTGTAGATGACTCTCTCAACAAGTGAGATGACCATGAGCTCAGTAAACACTTGCCAAAGTAAGAGACTCAGAGGCTCTGACCAGTGTGAAGACTTCTCTGCTCTGCTTATTGCCTTCCCTCATGTCTTTTCTCATGTCTATGCCTCATGGACCAGGTATCTGGATTTATTATGCTGATAACTACAATACAGGATCCACATTCCAAACAATCCTAGTTTGTCTAAGGAAATTTGTATGACTTTTTAAAACTATCTTAACAAGGGAACCCCTGGGTGGTGCAGCGGTTTGGTGCCTGCCTTTGGCCCAGGGCGCGATCCTGAAGACCCGGGATCGAGTCCCACGTCGGGCTCCCGGTGCATGGAGCCTGCTTCTCCCTCTGCCTGTGTCTCTGCCTCTCTCTCTCTCTCTCTCTCTGTGCTCGGTGTGACTATCATAAATAAAAAAATAAAAAATAAATAAAATAAATAAATAAAAAATAAAACTATCTTAACAAAAGGAAGCAGAATTCCTCTTAAAGGAGGAAATGTTTTTTGTCTGAAGACATATCTTGCTAAGCCTGCTTGAGAAAGTTGGAATTTCTAAGTATAGACAGGGCAGGCACCTAGACATCAGAAAATGCTGGAAGCTGTACTGCATGATGCAAGGGGAAGAATTAATTGCTTTTGCTCTTTTGAAGCAATCCTCTGTCCTCTCAACAGGAAGATCTTCAGTAAGATATACTCTAATCTTAAATGCTTTGTGTAAATTTTGCCTGTTTGTTTGTTTGGTTTTGTCTGAAGACATGTCTTTTTGAAGGTGCTAAGTTCCAAGTCTGGGTCAACCCTGAGCAAAATAGGCATCTCACGCGTGTCAAAACTGGAGTCTAGGGAAGAAAAGACATGAGAGAGAACACACACTCTGGGAATCCCAAAAGTTGGATGGAGATCTTTGGGCTTGTGCAGACTGTGGGCTTGGGGGTTTGAATCACTTCCATCCAGGGCTATGAATAGCACAGATGCCCTCAGTGTTGAAACTGGGTTGCATACTAGATTAAAAATTCCTTGAGAAAAGGGTCTACTGGGTCTTATACTTCTTTTAGCCTCTGAGAAAGCCCACATATAGCAAGTATTAAAAAGATTTATTAATTGAAATATTTGGTTTTATTTGTAAGAAAACTCAAAATACTTTAGCTTCACAGCAAATATGTATTTTTAATAGTCTTCTGTCATTTAAAAAAAAAGTCATTTTCTAACCTTAGTAAATCCCATTCACCATACTGAGCCAAAATTTCTAACGATCCAATTCTAAACCATGATTTTGCAACACGCAGCACTACTGCACCTGAAAAACACACATTTTAGCATAAGTTATTTTAAACTATGCATATATGGCATAATATGCTTCTCTGAAAATTTAAATGATTTAGTAAAAAAAAAAAAAAACAGTAACTGAATTTATCAGAAAAGTGACAAATTTATACCCTAGAAAGGATCAAGGATTTTTTCCCTCTATTTCTTTAAGCCTTGAATCAGTTAGGATGTCGGGAACCATAACACTTTCAGAAATACCACAGCTCCAATCTCAGTAAAGGCTGCTCACCTAAACATTAGGCTCCAAATGTGGGATTCCCACTGTCTTCTCTGCTGTGACCTTTTCCTTGTACCTCATCCTGGAATAGGAATCAGTGAATGATTTCCATGGCATAGTCCCTGCAAGGGCCTTCTATTGGTATAACTAACTGAAAATTAACCTCAATAAATAAAGTTTTGTATACATTTTAACTTATGCATACACTGAAGAAATAAAGTGAGTCTATGTATTTTTGTGTTAGTACTTGTACCCTCTATTGCCGCCATTAGTCATATAGTTAGTAAATAGAACTGCATGATTCTTTTCTCCAAGGAATGCTGTACTTAGGTGTGTTTAGATGTCAAGATGAAGTCTATTCCAGGCAACAAAGCCTCCGGCTCAGTTGGTGTTGTGCTTTGATACAATACCACACTCACTGCTACCCCTGAGCCTCTGTGCTATTCCCTGCTCCACATGCCCAGCACACTGCTTCTTTTTTTCCCACTGAAATCCTTCCTAATCTCAAAGATAAGTAACCCTGAACGCCTTTAAGCATGAATATCTTAGGGAGATTTTTTTTTTAATGAAAATCTTGTCAAAACATATTAGGTGCTAAGCATAAAGAATATAACATTCACACTCAGTAAATCACTGTGAATAACAGGAAAAATCCTGCTGTGTCACACAGTGATGTGCACAGGCCCCAAAAAAACATGTGCAGCTATCAGCAGCCTTCAACAACTCTGCTTTCTAAGGTGTTGAATAAGTTTATTATTAGGGCCCCTGGCTTGCTTAGTCGGTAGAGCATGTAACTCTTGATGTCGGGGGAGTGAGTGCAAGCCCCACATTGTTGTAGAGCTTACTCTGAATAAATGAATGAATGAATATAAATAAAACATTTATTTTTTAATTTTTTTATTTTTATTTTTTAAAAAACGTATACTGTTGATTTTCAAGTCTCTTCTCTCCCCAGAGATTCAGGGTTAAGTTTCTCTCATTTTTTCTCTTTGCTGCTCTACAGCACACTTCTCACCCCTTCCTAATTTTTTATTTCTGGCCTACTAATGGCTGAGGAAAAAGTTAACTGAACCGATTGGAAGTAAGCATGAAGTAAGAGCAGTCAGGCTCTGAGGAAAGATCTGAGGAGTCTCTCCTCAGAAAAAAGTATATGATCTTTCGTGTCCTGGCTTTGTAACATTTTGCTGGCTGTCCATAAACATTTTTGTTCACTTCCCAGATTCCTGCTGTTTGAAACCAAAGAGCTGATGATGTGAAGAAAGGATGTTCTGTGATAATATCCTAATGCTGCAATTACATCTTGAAAAATGACATGGGTCATTTTTTAATAAGACTGCAAAGAGGTGCAGGATCTGTTATTCTTTTGGGACTTAGCCTAATTTTATGTAAGTATTCTAGAAATTTTATTACCTCGTTCTTTCGTAATGTTTCCATTGTAGAACTGATCTCTCCATACCTCATCATCACTCACAATTAGACTGAAACATAAGAGAATCCAATAATTAAAGTTATACGTTAACTGCTAGCAAGCTACCAAGAAGTCCCTAAAACCCTAAGAAACAATGAAAGTCATGCTACCAGAGATTTATCTGCTCAATGTACTGACACATGCCTGCAGATACCATGATGCAGTCCTGAAAGTTAGCTTTCAGGAAAAAGGAATTACCTTGAAGCTCTGCTAGTTGGAATTCCAAGAGAGTGCATAGCCTCGCTGCATAAAAATTCTCTCACTGAGGAACGAAGTACAGCTCTGCCATCACCATTTCTAGGGCAAATAAGAGAAAAAAGCTTTTCAGGTATAGTTAAGAGACAACATCAATTTTTATTTAGATGACTCTAAAAAAAATATCAAACTGTACTGGGAGTATGGGGCCTTTTAATTGGAGCTCCCACTTTTCACCCTGCCTTCAACAACAACAAAGAAATCTAAGTTAGAAGATTCATGTTAATATTTACCAGAAACGTTATTATACTAGGAAACATGTGGTACCTGTTCATGTAAATTCCAATAAGGTGGGTTCTTCCGTCCCCGAGCTGATCTGCCCATATCCCAAACTAAAGGAGACAAAGGAAAATTATTCGTGCTTATTAACCTTTGAAGCTTTCATAGTAATTTTATAGCCAAAGTTATTTTGTCCAAATTGAGAATGGGGTGTTGCATTTTTAGGATTATAATAATCAACATCTTGAACAAAGGTGAAAATAATATTCAATCAATAAGACGTAAGTGAAATTGATTTTAAAAATATAAATTGGAGACACATAATTAACTTCATCATCTTACAGCTGAGCTCAAGTTTGTTAGGTGTAGAATACTTAGAACTGACCTACTGATCTATTTAATTCTGGAATACGAACTAGGAACAATATATTCATAGAAAATTTACCGATAGTACATGTATGCAATGTAAAATCAAGAACATACTTGTACCCGAGAAAATTGCTTTTGAACTTACAGTCAACTGTTTCCAACTTTTTCTGTTTGTGGTTGCCCAACTTCCAGTTATGCCACTTACTAGATATGTAAATTTGAGTTACTTAATCCCACTGAGACGGACCTTTCATTTCTGTAAAATAGGATAACCCTTGCCAGGTTGTTGTAAGAATAAATGCTAACACATGCTTTGTACTACATCTAACATATGTAAGTGCTTGTAAGATGGTAATAATTATCATTCCTGGCAGTGATTTGCTTAGACATTACTCCATTTTCCAGATGCATGTTACTTCCACAGAAGACTTCCCAGACTTTCTGGGACTAGGAGGGTGGTTCTGTGAATTCCCAAACTCCTATCGACCCCATCACAACCCTGATGTAATCAGAATTCATTTCTTTATCTATCCTCTACCCTAGAGTATTAGCAATCTGAGCAAAGAGGACAGGTGTCTTTCACCATTTTAACTCCTGGCACATAAAAGTAGTTCTATAAACAGGTGTGGAATATTTAAACTATGTTTATAGTTCTGATAGAAAAACATGAATTTGAGAAAAATCTACCCAGTATTTTAATTTTTTATTTTAACCAGAAACAGACTACTATTAATTTTAGCTATGTAATAACCCTTAAGACCACAAATCTGAGAGGTGCTCTCAGGATACTCTGGAAATTTCTAAAGTCAACAATACATTAGATATATCCCACACTGTGAAAAAGAAGAAGAAAGAATGGTGAATCCAGAGCCAGGACGGAAGTCAGGGGAAACAAGAAGGTAGTTCTCTATTAATAAAAATTGTTTACTAGGACACCTGGGTGGCTTAGTGCTTGAGCATCTGCCTTAGCTCAGGTTGTGATCCCGGGGTCCAGGGATCCCCGTGGGGAGCCTGCCTCTCCCTCTGCCTGTCTCTCTGGGTCTTTCATGAATAAATAAATATAATCGTTTAAAAAATAAAAAATAAAAATCATTTACTCTTCAAAATGGCAAAGCCATCCTTATAAATATTTATAATTTCAAATCAGAAGCAAGAGATGAAATGTGAAATTGATAAAAATGTAATCTATACTACAAAAAAACTACAAAAAAAAACGCAGCTTAATAAAACTCTGCAGGCTTAAGGTCTGCATTTGTACTTTAACAGTACACGTAAGTACTGGTACAAAACACTAATCAATTTAACCTATATGGGGAATGACTTTTTGAACTATGGAATCCCTATATTTGGGAGCTAGGAAAAAAATAAAATAAAATAAAATAAAATAAGGATCATCTAGTCCAGAAGTTTCTAAATTGAAAAAACATAGTTCAGCAAAATGTTAGTAATTATTCCTTAAAAACAAAGCCCAACAAAACCCTACAGTCGAGTATGTTTGAAAAAAAGGGTGTTAAATAAAATTAAGTGGATTTCTTTGCCTCAGCACTTCTCACAACTCCTGGAATGGACTTGGTCAACCCTTGCACATTAAAGATCAAGATGCTGAGGTTCAAGGTTGTCATACAGATGACTCCTGAGGTCTTTTTCAGTTCTAATCATCTATGTCACTTCTCTTCTCAGCTTATGTTAGCTTAGCTTCTATGACATTTTTGCTTCTTAGGACAAAATTTAATTGTTTAGAATTCAGTTTTGCCTAAGAATAGGAAATCCACAAAAACTGTTAATCTTTCAGGGCACCTATGTTTGAATCTCTTCTGTCAATAAATGCTCTTACCACAGTTAACTTGACAATTCACTGATCATTTATCTAAAAACATCAAGAAAAAAAAATAAAAACATCAAGAGATGTTTTCAGGCAGTACTATGAATCAAGACATGGTATACATATATACGTAGTATTATGTACCTAATCTCTCCTTGGCTGTAAAACCATGATAATGTTTTAAACAGTGTCATCACTATGGAAAGAAAAGGTCTTGAAGTATAGTTAACTCCCCAACATCAAAATAACTTTGAAAATGCTTTCTTTTTTTTAAAAATTTTTTTTATTTTTTTTATTTTTATTTTTTGAAAATGCTTTCGATTACACACTTACTCCATTTTTGTTCATCAATATTGGTTGTTTCATTCATATAAGTACAGTCAAAAAGACCCAAGCTGTTCCTAGCCTTTGCACAAGAGGAGTCTGTTCTTTGGCAGCTACTTGCACAGCTCAATGGTTTTAACTTCCGAAGACACACACTTGGCTTAGTTGGGTCAAAAGAACTACTTGCTAGGGGCAGCCCCGGTGGTGCAGCGGTTTAGTGCTGCCTGCAGCCCAGGGCGTGATCCTGCTGATCCTGGATCGAGTCCCATGTCGGGCTCTCTGCATGGAGCCTGCTTCTACCTCTGCCTGTGTCTCTGCCTCTCATTCTCTCTGTGTCTCTATAAATAAATAAATAAATAATCTTAAAAAAAAAAAACTACTTGCTATTCTGCATGTTCTCATGGTAGGTTATTGTTCATCAAAGAAAGCTTCACAAATTTCATCTGCTTTCCTACTTGGCCTTGCCATACTACATCTTTTTAAGAGTGAGCGGTTTCGTTTTAATCGGGGAAAATGATCTCTAAATGAAAATAGCCTGCTAGAATTATGTAGTGCTGTATCTGCCAACTGTGAGCTTGGCCAGAAATGTAAATCCTTGTTATCTGCTTCCCTATCTGTGAAAAGGGCAAATGATAAAATCTAAGTGGTAGGATTACTGTAAATACAAGTGTTTATTACTAGACTTTACCATGGCAAAGTCTACCTGTTGAGTAACGTACAAACCTGGATCAAGCCACAGATGGGTACTAACCATCTTCATTTGCAAAGCACCTGACTTTTACTTTCACATAATATTCTTCGGGATTAGAAAAAAAATAGGCTTATCCTAATAAACTTTATGCTTTTACAGTAAAAAAAAACAAACACACGCCACTTTGAAGATATAAAAATAACGCGCTCAGCTACAGGAGCGGTGCTTTCCCTTTTTTTAAGTCCAAAAGAAGTCAAAAGTCTTAATGACTGTGGTTGCCTACTTGTCGGTCTATTTCCTGGTAACACTGCATGTTTTGAGGACGGATGAAGTATCCTTCCCGTATCCAACACCTACACTTTCACTGGCCCTGTTTGTGTACATGTTGAATCATTAATGACGCCAAGGATTTCTCCCATAAATACCCTTTTTCATTACCCGGAGAAGAGCGGATCTGGCTGTAGAATCACGGCAAGGTCTGAGCCGCACCAGGTCCCAACCCTGTACCTGTCCAACGTTACCAACCACCACACAAGCCCACGCAGCTAAGTGCCCCCGCGCCCGGGGCTCCCACCTAAGAGCAAGGCCGCCACGCGGCGCCGCGATACCCCGCGGAGGTTTTCAGAGGACCGAGCCCCGAGGTCGAGAGCCCCGAGGTCGGGAGCCCCGAGGTCGAGAGCCCCGAGGTCGAGAGCCCCGAGGTCGAGAGCCCCGAGGTCGAGAGCCCCGAGGTCGAGAGCCGGGGCTAAGGGAGCGGGAGTCTCACAAGAGCCCAGCTCGTAGTTGGACCGGTTACTGGAAAGACGCAAGAGGCGGGCACTTCCGCGGAGGCCAGCAGCAGCCGGCCGCGGACCACCGCGTGGCAGGTGCCGCCGGGACAAGCAGCCGCGGAAGCCCGAGCCCCGGCTCGGGGAGCAGAGCAAGAGGTGGCGGCGGGAGGCGCGGCGCGCGGCGCTGGCTGGCGGCCGGTCTCCCAAAGGCCCATTTCTGCTGTAAGTCCGGGGGGCGCCCGGCTCCCGCTCGGGCAGCGGCGCCGGCGGAGGGGGTCGGGCCACCCCGCGAGCTGGGGGCAGGGGAGAGGCGCGGGGCGGCGGGGGCGGCGGGGGCGGCGGGGGCGCCGGGGGGTGCGGCCGGAAGCGCCCAGGGTTCCGCGCGGCCGCCCAGGAGCGCGCCCGCCGCGCCGGCCGGGGGACGAGCGGGGAGCGGCGGCCGGGGCGGGGCCGAAGCTCTTCCTGGGCCGAGTTTCCGGCTCCGGGTCCCGGGAGGCGGACCGCCGGGCCACAGGCGGAGCCAGCGCTCCGCCGCGGCTTTCGGACTCGGACCATGGCCTCGTGCAGGTGGCCCTGGCGGCGCTGCTGCTCCTGGAGGCCGGCGGCCCGGAGCCCCGGGCCCGCCTCGCCTGGCCGCGCAGGGCCGCCCGGGCCGCCCTCCGCCGCGGACGCTGGCGCTCAGGTGAGGCCCCGAGGCGCGCGCGGGGCGGTGGGGCGCAGAGGTCACAGCGCCAATGACAGCTGCGCGGCGGAATGAATGGGAGCTGGCGGCACGTGCGTCGGGGCGGGGGGCCGCGCTGCAGGGGGCACCTCGGACCCGCTGGGGGGGCGTGCAGCGGCGGGCGCGGGGCGTCTCCCTGAAGTCGGGACGCCCGGCTGGAGCCTGCAGAGCGTGGCCCCGGGGACCCGGGGGGAGGGCGGGGGGGGGCCCGGGGGAGCTTGGGGCGGGAGAGCTGAGCAGCTCGGGGGGCGGGGGGGGGGGCAGTGCGCGGCGGGGGGTAGTCAGGTCGCCTCCTGCCGCACGGAACCCCTGAAGCCTGGAGACCCCGCTGCAGTGCTTCCCTTTCGGATTTCAGCCGGGGCTTGGGGAGATCAGGTCTTCATTGGGATTTTAGAGCAAAAGGTGCTTTGCTCCGGCTCAAGAGACCAGGAGGGCTCGGCGCAGGCGGTCTTGTGCAGAATCAGGGCTGATGCTCAGGGTGGACCGGACTTCTGCCGGCCGTACAGTCGTTGCTTCCCCGGAAGGGCGCTGGAAGGAGAAAAGGTCTGAGGATGTCAGGAGCAGAGAAACTTTGAACTTTGATTGAATGTGACGTCTTGAAGTGGAGTCAGAATCTCAGCGCTAACCGTGACTACGTGTCTCTCTCCTGGGCTGCTCTTGGGCCCAATCTCTTTTTTCTCCATTTCCGGCCAGTTTATTTAGCCCCTATAAATGGACACGTTCTGGGTCTCCTATGCGTCTCTCCTGCACTCTGCAGTGATGGACTCTCACGTGTCATAGAGTAGGCCCATTCTGTTTAGAACGAAATCTGTAGACTCCCTGTCCTTTTTAGAGACTTCCAACAGTCACAGAGTAATTACAGTGGGAACCCGTCATCCGCAAAGTCTTCTATTACTTCCACAAAGGACTCGTCTTTTTTCACTTGGCTTTGGGACACTTCGTATTCCCATGAATTCCTCAGACACCATTTACCTGTATGAAATACGTAGCATTTACAAATGTCTCCTTTGTACCAACATGGATACATATCACAACTTATCCAGAATAAATATTTGGAGAGAGATGACTGCCTGGGTCAGCAGGCAGTCACCAAAAAGAGAATTTGGGAAAACAGTCTCAGATGCATTTCAGTACTGTCCTAACCAGATTTCATATATTTCTAGCATCACAGATGAAGGTATTATTTGGAGAGATGCTTGCACCCACCAGGTGATAGCACTGGATACTTCTTGCTCCTTTTTGTTTATTCATTTAAATTAATGCACAGTTTTGTATTAGTTTCAGGTGTGCAATGTAGTGATTTGACAGTTCTGTACACTGTGTGCTTATCATAAGTGTACTCTTGATCCTTTTCACATATTTCACCCATCCCTCACTGACTTCCTCTCTGGTAACCATCAATTTGTTCTCTATGAGTAAGAGCCTGTTTTTTTGTCTCTTTTTTTTCTTTGTTCATTTGTTTCATGAATTCCACATGTGAGTGAAATCATTTGGTATTTGTCTTTCTCTGACTTATTTCAGTTAGCGTTATATTCTCTGGCTCTCTCCATGTTGTTGCAAGTGGCGAGATTTCATTCTTTTTAATGGTTGAGTAATATTCCATTGTATATATATCACATTTTCATTCAATGGAGACTTGATTTGCTTCCGTATTTTGGTTATTGTAAATAATGCTGCAGTAAACCTAGGGGTGCGTATATCTTCTCAAATTAGTAGTTTTTGTACTCTCTGGGTAAATACCTAGTGGTGGAATTACCAGATCATATGGTAAATCTGTTTAATTTTTTGAGGAAACTATACTATTTTCCATAGTGGCTGCATCAGTTTGCATTCCCACCAACAGTACACAAGTGTTTCTTTTTCTCCACATCCTCAACACTTGTTTCTTGGGTTTTGACTTTAGCCATTCTGACAGGTGTGACATGATACTTCATTGTGGTTTTGATTTGCATTTCCCTGATGATTATTAATGTTAAGCATCTTTTCATATGTCTTTTGGCCATTTGGATGTCTTCTTTGGAGAAATGTCTGTTCATGTCTTCTCACTTTTAACTGGATTATCTTTTTTTTTTTTTGGTGTTGAGTTGTATGAGTTCTTGATATATTTTGGATACTAACCCCTCATCATATATATGATTTGTAAATTTCTTCTCCTACTCAGTAGGTTGTCTTTTTGTTTGCTGTGCAGAAGCTTTTTATTATTTTTTTTAAGATTTTATATGTTTATTTGACAGAGAACACAAGCGGGGGAGCATCAGGCAGAGGGAGAAGCAGACTCCCTGCCTTGCAGGGAGCCTGACATGGGGCTTGATCCCAGGACCCTGAGATCATGACCTGAGCTGAAGGCAGATTCATAACCGACTAAGCCACCTAGGCACCCCGCTTTTTATTTTGATATAGTCCTGGCACTCCCTTTTTTTTTTTTTATCAAGTGCCCACTGAGCAACTTTCTCAGCCACAGAAAGGATGCTTACCTGGAGAGAAAAATGCTCAGTGTTTTCCATGTCTGCTTTCATGAGCGCAGGGTGGGACTGCATTGATCATGCCAATGCCATATATTGCCAATTCATGTATCGGCATTGGTATTTTCACTATAAATGAATACATTAGCCTTCTGGTGTCTGCCACAGGTGTGTGTCTTTGGTTAGTTCAAGTCTTTTAGGGCCTGCTAGCCTTTAGGGACAAAGGGCAACAATAATAAATCCACATCTGCTCCTTAGTTACAGCTCTGCTTCCTGATATGTGTACACTCTCCCAACTTAACCGTTGGTAGTGTTAACATCCTGTAATAGGACAAAAACCAGTGTGCATTTGTTACTGCCAAATCACTTATCAGCTTATCTGTTTTTGATTCTTACTCAGAAATTTTTTTTTTTTTTTTAAGGAAATTCATGGGAGGAAAGGTTGGCTTTCAGAAGAGAGTATGTGATGGAAAGGAACAGTATTGGAATAGGAAAATGAGTGTCTCTGCTGCCAGTAGCAGCACATCAGTCGGCGTGGAATGCTTCACTGCTCTTCTGAGCGCCTCTAGTCTTATTTCGGAAAACATTGCTGCATCTTAAAGCAGAAAATAACTGAGTGTAGATACTGTAGATCTGTAGATACTGTATTAAATGTATACAATGTGCTAGGCTCTGAGCTAAGAGCTTTACACACCTCTGAATTAATCACAGTTTCTCTCAAAGAGTAGGTATTACCAGAAAGATGTCACAAAGTAATATGGCCAGGAAATGTTGGGATGGAAACCAAGATCCATCTTCCAAAGACCAGGCTTTTAACAAATGTTACTCTATGTAATGGTTAAGAACACTGATTACCTGTGTAATATTTTTTTAATTTAAATTCAATTTAGTTCACACATAGTGTATTAGTTTCAGAGGTAGAATTTTGTGATTCGTTTGTCGTATATAACACCCAGTGCTCATTACATCAAGTGCCCTCCTTAATGCCCTTCACCCAATTACCCTATTCCTCCAGCAACCCTCAGTTTGTTTCCTATGGTTTTCCTATGTTTCCTGTGGTTTGCCTCCCTCTCTGTTTTTATCTTATTTTATTTTTCCTTCCTTTCCCCTTTATTCGTCTGTTTTGTTTCTTAAATTTCACATGTGAGTGAAATCATATGGCATTTGTCCTTTTCTGACTGATTTATTTCACTTAGCATAATATATTCTACTTATCCACATTGATGCAAATGACAAGATTTCATTCTTTTTATGGCTAAGTAATAGTTTATTGTTTCTGTCTGTGTATGTATATATTTTATTTAATTTTCCATGCATCAGTCGACATCTGGGCACATTTTTACCCATTTATCTGTCGATTGACATCTGGGCTCTTTCCGTGTTTTGGCTATTGTGAACATTGCTGCTGTAAACATTGGAGTGCATGTGCCCCATCAGATCACTATTTTTGTATCCTTTGGTTAAATGCCTAGTAGTGCAATTGCTGGGTCATAGGGTAGAACTGCCTTAGCTGTGTAATTTTAGCTCTTCATTGCAGTTTAGAGGTTAAAAGTCTTAAACTTTTAAGTATTACAATGAAATACTGAATTCATGTGAAATAATTACCCACAAAGGCTGAAAGAAGTAGGTTAAATATCATATAATGGTGAAATCAAAAGAGAGGATTATCACGTTGTTTTCTTGGGACATTATTAATGTTCTTATTGATTTAGTGAATATATAATGCTATGATAGAAGGACTAGAACTCAGCCAGTCTTCCTTGGCCACTGGCCTGCCTGGCAAAGTCAGCCTTTACTGTTTTTTTAATATGTCTAAGGCAATATGTGTTGCTTTAGAGAAAAATCAGAAAATAGAAACCAAAAAAGAAATTAAAAATTCTCACAATCCTATTTAGTAAAACAAACAAACAAACAAACAAAAAAAACTATTTTAATACCCTACTTGAGATGCTTTTAAACCCTATTCTCTGTGTATTTTATTTGTGCATGGGTGTCTGTAAAAAATTTTTGCGGGATCATATATATATGGTTTTGTAGATGCTTTTTTCTTTTGTTTTATTTTTTTAAAATATTTTATTTATTTACTTAGAGAAAGAGAGAGCCCGTACTTGCACAAGCAAGAGGAGAAGAGGGAGAGGGAAAGAATCCCAAGCAGACTCTGCTTTGAGCATGGAGCCCAATGCAGGGCTTTATCCCATGATCCTGACTGAGATCATGACCTGAGCCATAATCAAGAGTCCAACGCTCAACCAGCTAAGCCACCCAGGCACCCCCTTGCTTTTTTCTTTTGATATATTGTCAGCATATCTGTATATCAGTTTCTCAGACTTGACTTTTCTGAACTGCAAGCTTGCCAGCAGTATAAAAAAAAAGTAGGGTCAAATAGTGTAAAAGCACGTCGTAAGACTTTATCACAAATAGAGAAGATTCATTCTATTTTTCTTGTGCTAAGTTTGTCCTTTTTGTCAAAATACTTTCTTCAGATACAGAGCCCTTACCACATTATGTTAGGAAATCAGTAAAGTTTTTTTAAGTAACCTCTGTGTCCCAGGTCAGGCTTGAACTCTTAACCCCCAAGGTAAGGAGTCGCATGCTCCACTGACTGAGCCAGCCAGGCACCCCTGTAAATTAGTAATTTTTTAAATGACTGTGTCCCTCTATCCCTTAAGATTGGTGGTCTGTATCTTTGGGTCCACAGTGCTCATCACATTTCCTGGCCCGTAGTAGGACTCAGTAATCATTGGAACCAATATCTGTTGTCACCATCTCTGAATCTTTTAGTAGACTTCTGTTCTTGATCTCTTAATATTCTCAAACAAGTGCTACTGAGCTTGCTTGTTGTTTAATGTTACTGATCAAGAAGAAACATTTCCAAGTATGTTTGGAAACAGTAACTTAAAATAGGTAGTGTTCATGTATAAATGTAAATTCATTCTTCAACATTGAAATCTTTCTCCTTTTAACTATCTGGTCTGATGCTTGGGGGAGCTTGATTACTCTTTGTTTTCATTGGGTTTAAGAACATGAAAAAATGTAAATAACAGTAATGTTTACTATTCTCTGACCAATCTTAGTTAAATGGAAGGGAATGGTTTTAAAACTGCCTTTTCAAGTCTGGAAAGCTGGATGGAATATGTAAACTAGTTTTCTTTGGAGAAAGGATAAATTATATATGTGGATTTTTTTCCTTATGTTCTATAATGCCAAATACTGTTTTTGTAGAAGGAAATTTTTTATCATCATCTTTTAAAGTTTGCATCTATCTACAAAGGGACAGCTAGAAGATAAAGATCATATTTATTATGAATTTATCATGAGTTCATATTATATGTGAATAGTTATGAAGTCTATGAATTATGAATGTTTTTATTTATCTGGCATAATAAACAAATTTTTCATGAATATTCTTACAAGTTCCTTAATACTTTTATTTTATAGATGTCCTATTTTAATCTTGTGAAGAGTCTAACATCTGCTTTTCCAAATAGGTATAGTATGTCATGGTAAGTTTATGATCTGTGTTACAACTGCTGAAATTATTAGCCATATTGCCAGTAAATTTCTGTCCTAAATTGTGGTACGCTAGTCCAACAAATTGAATATTTTGGTAAACTAAGGCCATAATATCTGCTCTGTTTTATCTCTGCCTTTTCAAAAAATGGGACTATAATAAAATTTTAACTCAGAACACAAACTAATTTAGTCTTTGATTTGGGGGGTTCTAAAGGTCTTGGCTATAAAAATGAACTATTGATCTATTGTCTAGCAAGAGCAAAATTCTGTGTGTATTTCTAAAGTATAACCATTTTGGATGCGCGCTTAATCTCCAGCAAGTAGATGTGTATATAATTCTTACTTAAAATCCAAATTATATCACTTAAATAAACGGCACTCAGTCTTAACATTGTGTGCATTTTTGCTTGTCCCAGGTTCCACCACACAACGTCAGCAGTGTGCTGTTGTAGTAAAACACAGAGTGGCGAGAAATACACCGATCCTTTCAAACTTGGTTGGAGAGACTTGAACGGTCTGTATGAGGACATTAGAAAGGTGAGAGAGTTCTGATGGTGCTGTGAAGTAACGCTGATTTCTTAGAATCGTGACAGACAGTGCAGCTTTTCAGATAACATCCAATGATGTTGCAAACTTGATTCATGAGTGTCCAGTCTCCGGTGTTTCCTGAATGACAAGGAGATGGGCAGGGTGGAGGATGCAGTGCACATTCCCATCCAGAATGAGGTTATTGCAGAGTTGGGGAACTGAAGAAAACGTACAGGTGGCACATACTTGCCCTCTCCTATTCCTTCCCCTGCTCCCTGCATAGTGAGGCGCTAAAGATCAGTGCCAGGCTGCCCCAAATCAGGCTTTCTCCATTAACTGCTTTTTTTCCCCAAAACTTTTCGTGGATTCTTAGATGCTGCCCAGAAATGTTCACATGCCCCTCGTCTACTCTCCTCCTCAAACCCCCACTCCACTCTCCTGTTCTCCCAGCAGCGCCATTGCTTATTTGAACGAGCTAGGCAACACGTTGAGGAGGTTCTCCCTGGGCACTGGCTGTGTCACCATCTATGCTCCCATCCATGCCCAGCTGCGGGCTGCTCTCCTTTCCTCCCTCCCTGGTGATATAAACAGTTCCCTCCTTTCCAGGCGTCCCTTCCCTCCAGCTCTGTCCCGTGCCCTGTGCCTCCTCGATGTCAGTGCCGTAAGAACAACTCCCACCCCTGCCTGTCCGCTCCCCTTTTTCCACAAGCTCTCCCTCCTGGCGTGTCTCCCATCCACTGTCGGTGCTCCAGTTCATTTGTGTTCACCCTTTACAGGACCGTCCCTTCCCTTCCCGTGTTCTCTGCCTCTTTATTTCACCCCTTCATGTTTCCTCCACCGTCACGCTGTGCCTTCCTCCCAGCCTCTCCTCTGAAACTGCTTTGCCAGCCCTTGGCTTCCATAGTGTGCTCTGCTAAATCCAGTGGACACTTTTGGTTTTTATCTTGGTTGATGTTGTTGTCGAACACCGGACACTGTCGACCACTCCCCACTGTGTAGAACACTTTTCCTTGGTTTCTGTACTTTTCTCCGTCTCCGAAGTCTCAGGCCATCCTTCAGGCTGCTTCCTGGTTTCCTTCCTCTCTGTCCCCTCCCCACCCTTTTTTGATCATCCTGCCATTTCTTTGGGTTCTGTTTGTTCCCACTTCTGTGTCCTCAGTTTACCTGTTCCTGTACTTAATGATTCCCAAATAATATGCCTGTTCCTCATTAAATTGTCTCTCTCAAAACCACACATCTAACTGTCACTGGGCAGTTCCACGGAGTGTCTATGACTGTCTCAAACTTAACGGATCTGAAACTCTACGTTCCCCTCCTAATCGTTTTTTTTCTTTTCCTACTCATTCAAGGTAGCGCCCAGCAACCTGGGCAGGATCCTAGAATTGCTCCTCTCGCCCTTCCACATCCTCACCGGTCTCTAGCCTTCAGTCCCCATGGTCTAGGTCAAGCCACACCCAATTCTGTGGCCCTGTCACTGTTGCTCCCCCAGTAAGCATCCTTAACCAGTGGCATCCCCTTCTTGCTCCCAGAGGAGCTGCACTTATCTCCAGGACAGCACCCCTCATACTGTGTATTGCAATTAGTGTTTTATTTCTCCCCATCTAGACAGCTCCTCAAAGGCATTGGGGAGGAGCTGTCTTATTTTTCTTTGTAACCTCTGCATTTATTATTGTGCCTGGCTCTGAAGTCGATATTTTGGCGAATTAAAAGACAAGCCCACTGTACCATGTTCCCCTGAGCCTGGCTGAGGGTCCTCAGGTCTATTCTTAGCTCCCATTGCTTTGGGGACATAAGCTGTGATTCGTTTTAGGAAGTTCTGGAGAGGCAGGTACAACAGACATAAGTCCATCACCTCGAAGACTCTCCCTCCTCTTCATGAATCAAAATCCTACTTATTCTTTAATTACAGATCAAAGCTTTTATCCTCCATTAAATATTTGGTTTTCTAGCCCACTCTGATTTCTCCCTTCTCTGAACTTTTGCTGCATCTAATTTATTACATTTCATTTAATTATGTCATTGCTCAGGTTGCCAGTCTGAACATTCCATATTGTTAAAAAATTTATCTCCCCAGCTCAGTTCTAAGCTCACAATCAGGCAAACTTCCTCTGTGAATTTTTGACGTCTGGCTGAGCCAGGCTGACTGATCCTGGCTTCTTCCAGCCGCCAGCTTATCTTCCTGTCCCTCATATACAGCTTTGCCTCCATACCCCAGACACCCCCTCAACTCCTGCTTCATTGGCTCCCACACTTCCCATCTTTGTCCTCTCCCTTCCTCCACCTTCCAAGCTGCTCCCAGCCTGTTCCTTTTTGGTCCCCAGGCCACCTTTCCTCCTCCTCCCCTGTTGGAGTCTTTGGGGACAGGCGGCACTGCTTGCGATGGCCCTGTAGCCACTCTGGGCAGGCCAAGCATCACTTGTGGCCCAGCTGCAGCGCAGCCAGCCAGGTTTGTGGCCTTACAATGTTGGAACCTCTTCCAATTGAGTGTTGAATTTCTCAAGTGAAATGATACAGTGAGTACACTGAGATCAAATCAAAGTTTTGTCATAGAAATCCTGTTGCCTTTAATGTGCTATCATGATGCCACATTGACACAGAGAAACTTCATTTCAGGAACTACTCATATCTACAACCGAACTTAAGGAAATGTCTGAATACTACTTTGATGGTAAAGGAAAAGCCTTTCGACCAATTATTGTGGTGCTAATGGCCCGGGCATGTAATATTCATCACAGTAACTCCCGGTGAGTTCTTTACTTTCACTCCTCAGTCGTTTTTATATTTGGCAAATCTTCCTACTCACGGTTGCCATTTAGTTCCCTGATGGAGAGATAGCGTTTATCTTAGAATCCACTTTGTTTCTGATTTTGAGAACCAGTCACCTGGCCTGGGCATCTTCCCTTGCCACACTTTTTAATGTCCTAAAAGAACAACTTTAGCTCTAAGGAACTATTTTGAAAAGAATTTTAAAAGCCAAATTGGATTTCTTCACTCAGAAGTAAAGAATAGCAAGGTGTGTGCATACATGTAATCATCATAGACATGGGGCAGTTAGTCCAAAGGTTAATCATGATCAAGTCATGAGCTATGTGCCTGTGCTGTGAGTCTGGGCACTACACGCCCTGTGGGCCTGCCTTCCTGTGACCGTCGGAAATTTGCCAAAGAAAAATCTTGGCAAAAGAATGCTAGTGGTCCTCAACTTTTATGTTTTGAATATATATATAATGTTTAAATATTAAAGCCTACCTCATTAAAGGAAATCTTAAAAGGATTGGTCCCTTACCCCAGGCAGCTACCTCTGCTCCTCCCTCCTCCCCTCTGCACTTTTATTCATTCGGTACATGTGTGTAATCCTGTGCTTTGCTTTGTGTATTCCCCCTTTTTTCACTCTTGACCATGTCACTAGAGTGTGTCTTCATAGTTGTTATTTTTATATCATGTGATCTGCTGAGGGAAGTCCCAGCACCCATCATATATTCATTCACTTCCCTCATGTTGAACATTTGTATTCTAGTCCCTCTTCCCAGCAGAGCACACTTTAAGGAATGCCTCAGGGAGTGTCAGGGGTTGCCTCTTGGCAACTGCTGCCCTCAGCCCACTGCAGCCTTTTGTTCCCTGCTGCTCCAGCACATTGCATCACCTCAGGGTGCCTCCCACTACAGCCCCCCACCCCCCAAGACTGCCCAGGTGCTCATAGTGAAGTGAGGCAGTGAAATCTCTGGCAGTGGACCACCCTCAGGACCATTTGCACTTCACCCGGAAGGCAGAGCAGCACAAATGAGCCAAATTTGAAATATATCTCACACCATCTAGAGCAGGGTTTCTCAGCCTTGACATTTGGGGCCAGATAATTCTTTGCATGGAGGCTGTGTGTTATAGATGGTAGCAGCATCTCTGGCCTCTATCCATAAGATGCCAGTGGCCCCCTCCTTGGCCAAGTTGATGACAACCAAAAATGTCTCCAGACATTGCCAAATGTTCCCAGGGGTGGGGGGGAGGGGGCAAAATCATCCCTGGTTGAAAACCACTTGTCTAGAAAGAGTACATATTTATAATTTCTCAGATTAATGTGTAATACAGTTCATTACCCTCAGAGGTACCATGGGAAGGATATATCCTGTATAGCTTTATATCCTCTTCGCTTGTCATCCCCATGGTTGGAAGTGTTTTCAGTTTGCCTTGCTGAAACTGTATAAACCGTTGGTTGCAGAAAACATGGGAGAATGTAACACAACAAAGGCAGTGCTAGGTTACAAAGTAAGTTTAGGAGCGCCTGACTGGCTTAGTAGAGCGTTAGACTCTTGATTTCGAGGTTGTGAGTTCAAGCCCCATGGTGAGGGTCGAGTTTACTTGAATAAAATAAAAAGTAAGTCGCACACTGCCCTTTCTGGGATATTTTAGCCGTGACCTCAATCCCCCATAAGTGATGGGAGCAGGGCTCACCAGAGGCACAGTGCAGAGGCAGGGTCTGGCTACACTCTCCAAGCCCCCGCTTCTTAAGGATACTTGCTTCCTAAGAGCCCTTTTGAATCAGGCTCTTAATTGGCTAAATATCTAAGCTGGCACCTCTGTCTGTGCCTCTTAATGCGAGAAGGGAGGGACACGGTGGCAGGACGGGAGACCTGGGCCATTTCCGGGTTCGATTCCTGAGAAAGACTTAGAACAGTAAGGACTAAAGGTAGCCATAGATGAGGGGTGGGACCTCACAGAGCTTCTATTTCTAGCTGGTGCCACTGGAGGCATCCTCCAGGCACAGGGGCACCAGCACCCATTCCAGAAATTCCTTTACTGGCTTGTTGGTAACAGCAGAATTGAGAGAGCCCTGCTTTATCATTTGACAAAGTTTAATGGCTTCTATGCGACTTATCAGACATCATCTTCTCATTTGTGAAATGTGTGTTATATAGGTAAATAAGAATCCTAGAGGGAATTTTGGAAAACCAAATAGAATAGACACCTAAGAAATTGCGAGGGGGGAAAACTACGTTTTATTGATTTTCCTTTTCCTTTACTAAGCTTTTCAGTGGTCCATTAAACATTCCTTGTCAGATTACTAGGACTTCTTAACCTGAAGTTCATGGGGAGTCTCATGGGGATCTGTGAGTCCCTTAGAATTGCATGCAGAATTTTTTGTGTATTTGCATTTTTCTGGGGAAGGTTATCAGAAGTTCATAATATATCCTCAAAAGGTAACATGGCCCCAAAGAGCCTAAGACTCAATCTTTATATTTGCTGTCAGTGTCCTGATAGCACAGTATCTGGGCAGATAAAATAGGAACACACAAACAAAAAGACTCAGATTTGAAAGGTCCAGAACACAGCTGTAGTGGTTCTAAGGTGTGTCATGTAGATCTTCCTGCAATGAAGGACTCAGGGCTGGACCAGGTCTTGTTGGCAGAGAATCTTGAGTTCTCAGCCTCTTCAAGGATTGCGTCCATGCAGCAAATCCTTGCACCAGCGCCAGCCCACATCCAAGGCCTAAGAGAGGAAGGGGCATCGTGGCTCCAGGACACACCACAGATGGGCCTGCATTATAGAAACTTCTCCCTCTACCCAGTCCTGTTTCATCCTCTCTCTCCCACGGCTTTTGATCCCAGGGGCACTCCTGAGACAGACGTCTTGTACTTTAAACTTCAGAGTCTGCCTCCCAGAGAACCTAGTCTGCACTGAAGTTCAGCAAACTAACTATAGGTCAGGACTTATTTTATCAAAGAATCTGGATCAAAAATGAGCTTTAGAGTAAATAGATTTCTATAAAAGTCCTCTACTCACTGAACATAGCACAGCTGTAGTTTCTGATCTTTCTCAAACAAGCCAAGCTCCCTGCTCAGCAACCTCATTGAAGGGACCGACCTACTCTTGTCACCAATCTCAGTACCATCCATTCCTGTATGGAAGTCTTCCAGCACTAGAAGTGGATATCAGTGCCTGTGATTGGAATAACAGCACTGCTCACATTTTATTGCTCTTGATTTTGCCAACGGCCAGGTGGCACTGAATTCCACTGGTCCAGTTTACAAAGCCAGACATTGGTTAGATGGTACAGCTTATAAGGTGCCATTTTCATATTAGTTATGATATCAAAGGTCCAAGTGTGATAAAATCTTAAATGCAGAGGAGGTAACTTTTATTATTCTAATACAGACAAAGGAAATTGCAAAAGCCTACCCTGGGAAAACTATAACAAAATAGTCCATACGGCAGCATCTTACTTAAATGATTCTTAAGATCAGGCCATTCACAATTCAGGAGCCATTCCTGGTTTCTGTGTGTGTTCTGAATCACTGAACCAGCCACTATGATAGTGATTTATGGGAGAGGCAGGAAAGTTGATGCCAAAAGAGAGGTTTTTGCTTTTAACCTAGAAGATGGCCCTTTTTATGTCTGTATTCATTACTGAAATGGATCTTAAGGGCAACAGGGGGCATGCATCAGGCTTACCTTGACCAGTTGGACTCCTTCTGTGCCCCGTGCAGCTGGAAGGAAAATGGAGCAAGAACCTAAGCCCAAGGGGCAGCCCTAACCCGTCTGTTGGATCAGCATTCAGTTTCAGGTCAATTTAGTGTGGATTTTGAAGTTGAATCTCTCCATTCAGAAGATTGTAGCCTCAATGAAGATGGATAAGAACTGTCAGATGAAGATTATGAGGTACATCACATAACTGAGTCAAGCAGGGGAGAGTGATACAGATGCGTTTGAAGAAGACCCTGAAATTTCCTTACTTGGCTATTTGTGTACCTCATGCAATGAAATGAGACATCCTCTTCCTTGTAACAGATGTTGGGCCCTTTTTGAGAATTGGCTTCCTGAAGATAAAGATGAAGAGAAAATGCCTGTGAGTGCTCACTTCAGCAAATACACTAAAATTGGAATGATACAGGGAAGATTAGCATGACCCCTGTGCAAGGATGATATTCAAATTTCTGAAGCATTCCATATTTTTAACACTGACAAAAAATAGTGAAGCTTGCAAATTTTAAAGATAAAGAGAAAATCCTGAAAGCAGCTCAAGACAAGGTCCTTAATCTACAAGGGTAGAAATATTAGACTGGCAGCAGACCTCTATCCACAGAGACCGGGCAGGCCAGAAAGGAGTAGCATGATATATTCAGGGTGCTAAATGAGAGAAACATGTAGCCAAAAATACTTTATCTGGCAAGACTTTTATAGAGAATGGAGGGAGAAATAAACAGCTTCCAGGACAAAAAGAAACTAAAAGAATTTGTGATCACAAAACTAGCCCTGCAAGAAACATTAAAGGGATCCTGTAAGTGAAGAAAGAGCCTAAAAGCAACACAGACCAGAAAGGAACAAAGACAATATACAGATGACTTTACAGGTAATACAATCGCAGTACATTCATATCATTCAGTAGTTAATCTAAATGTAAATGGGCCAAATGCTCCAATCAAAAGACACAGAGTATCAGATTGGGTAAAAAGCAACACCCATTGGGGATCCCTGGGTGGCTCAGCGGTTTAGCACCTGCCTTCAGCGCAGGGTGTGATTCTGGAGTCCCAGGATCGAGTCCCACATCGGGCTCCCTGCATGGAGCCTGCTTCTTCCTCTGCCTGTGTGTCTCTCTCTCTGTGTGTCTCTCATGAATAAATAAATAAAATCTTAAAAAAAAAAAAAGCAACACCTATTGATATGCTGTCTGTAAGAGACTCATTTTAAACCCAAAGACACCTCCAGATCGAAAGTGAGGAGAACCATTATTCATGCAAATGGACCTAAAGAAAGCAGGGGTGACCGTCCTTATATCAAACAAATTAGATTTTAAACTAAAGGCAATAAGTAGTAAGGGATGAAGAGGGACACTATATCATATTTAAATGTTCTATCCAACAAAAAGATCTAACAATTATAAATATTTATGCTCCTAACTTGGGAGCAGTCATTTATATAAAATCAATAATTAAATTAAGGAAACACATTTATAATAATACAATAATAGAAAGGGACTTTAACACCCCACTCACAGCAATGGACAGATCATCTAGGCAGAAGATTAAGAAGGAATCAAGGGCTTTGAATGACACATTGGACCCGATGGACTTCACAGATACATACAGATCTTTCCATCTCAAAACAACAAATACACATTCTTCTCAAGTGCACATGGGACATTCTCCAGAATACATCACATACTGGGTCACAAATAGGGTCTCAACTGGTACCAGAAGATTATTCCCTGTATGTTTTCAGACCACAGTGCTTTGAAACTGGAACTCAATCACAAGAGAAAATTTGGAAGGAACTCAAATACTTGGAGGTTAAGGAGCATCATACTAAAGAATGAATGAATCAACCAGGAAATTAAGTAAGTAAAAATCCATGGAAACAAATGAAAACACAACTGTTCAAAATCTTTGGGATGCAACAAAGTCCTGTGAGGGAAGTACATAGCAATACAAGCCTTTCCCAAGAAACAAAAGTCTCAAATATACAACCTAACCACACACCTAAAGGAGCTGAGAAAGAACAGCAAATAAAGCCTAAACCAAGCAGGAGACAAGAAATACTAAAGATTATAGCAGAAATCAATGAAATAGAAACCAAAAGAACAATAGAACAGAACAGCAAGACTAGGAACTTATTTGAATAAATTAATAAGGGCAGCCCAGGTGGCTCAGCAGTTTAGCGCTGCCTTCAGCCCAAGGCGTGATCCTGGAGACCCAGGATCAAGTCCCATGTCAGGCTACCTGTATGGAGCCTGCTTCTCCCTCTGCCTGTGTCTCTGCCTCTCTCTGTGGTCTCTCATGAATAAATAAATAAAATCTTTTAAAAAAGAAGATTGATAAACCCCTAACCAGACATATCAAAAAAAAAATGCAAAAGGACCCAAATTAATAAAACCATGAACAAAACAGAAGAGATCATGACCAACACCAAGGAAATACAATTTTAAGGACATATTATGAGCAACTGTATGCCAGCAAATAAGGCAATCTGGAAGAAGTGAATGAATTCCTGGAAACTTAAAGATTATCAAAACTGAAATAGGGAGAAACAGAAAACCTGAACAGACCCATAACCAGCAAGGAAATTGAAGCAGTCGTCAAATATCTCCCAGCAAACAAGAGTCCAGGACCAGGCGGCTTCCCAGGAGAATTCTACCACACATTCCAGGAAGAATTAACCTACTCTTTGAAGCTGTTTCAAAAAATAGAAATGGAAAGGAAACTTCCAAACACTCTCTGTGAGGCCAGCATTACCCTGATCCCAAAACCAGACCAAGACCCCACCCAAAAGGAGAATTACCGTCCAATATCCCTGATGATGCCAAAATTCTCACCAAGACGCCAGCTGGGAGGATTCAACAGTATATTAAAAGGATTATTCACCATGTCCAAGTGGGATTTATGCCTGGGCTGCAAGGGTGGTTCGACATCTGCAGATCAATCAATGTGATACACTATAGTAATAAAAGAAAGGACAAGAACCACAGGATCCTCCTAACAGATGCAGAAAAAGCATTTGACAAAGTGCAGCATCCTTTCTTGATCAAGACTCTTCACAGTACAAGGGAGGGAGGGACCATATCTCAATATCATAAAAGCCATCTACAAAAGGCCCACAGTGAATATCATTCTCATTGGGGAAAGACAGCTTTTCCCCAAGGTCAAGAACACGATGGGGATGTCTACATAGTACCAGAAGTTTTAGCCTCAGCAATCAGATAACAAAAAGAAATAAAAGGCTTCCAAATCAGCAAAGAATCAAGCTCTCAGTCTTCACAGATAACATCATACTTTATCTGGAAAACCCAAAAGACTCCACCCCAAAATTGATAGAACTCATACAGGAATTCAGCAGTACGGCAGGATATAAAATCAATGCAGAAATCAGTTGCATTTCAATACACTAACAGTGAGACAGAAGAAAGAGAAATTAAGGAGTCAATCCCACTTATGATTATACCAAAAACCATATGATACCTAGGAATAAACCTAACCAAAGAGGTAAAGGACCTGTTCTCTAAAAACTATAGAACACTTAAGAAAGAAATTGAGAAAGACACAAAGAAGTGGAAAAATATTCCATGCTTATGGATTGGAAGAATAAATATTATTAAAATGTCTATGCTAGGACGCCTCGGTGGCTCAGTGGTTGAGCATCTGCCTTCAGCTCAGGGCATGATTCCAGGTCCTGGGTTCCTGGAATTGAGTCCCACATTGGGCTCCCCAAAGGGAGCCTGCTTCTCCTTCTCCCTATGTCTCTGACTCTCTCTCTCTCTCTCTATCTCTCATGAATAAATAACTAAACCTTTAAAAATAAATAAATAAAATGCCTGCTATGTAGATCAATCTACACATTCAGTGCAGTCCCTATCAAAATACCAACGATGAGGCACCTGGGTGGCTCAATTGGTTAGCCTTTGGTTCAGGTCATGATCTCAGGATCCTGGGATCAATCCCTGTATCGGGCTCCCTGCTCAGAGGGGAGTCCTCTACCTCTGCCCCTCACCCTACTCGTGCTCTCTCTCTCAAATAAATTTTTTTGATTTTATTTATTCATTGTCAACTAATCCTTGACAAAGCAGGAAAGAATATCCAATGGAAAAAAAAGACAATCTCTTCAACAAAAGGTGTTGGGAAAATTGGACAGCCACATACAGAAGAGTGAAACTGGACCATGTTCTTAAACCGTACACAAAGATAGACTCAAAATGGATGAAAGACCTAAATGTGAGACAGGAATCCACCAAAATCCTAAAGGAGGTCACAGGCAGCAACATCTGTGATCTCAGCTACAGCAACTACTTACTAGACATGTCTCCAAAGGCAAAGGAAACAATCAGAAATGACCTACTGGGACTTCATCAAGACAAAAAGCTTTTGCACAGCAAAAGAAACAGTCAACAGAACTAACCATCGGGTAGGTACCCGATGGGAGAAGATACTTGCAAATGTCTTTTAGATAAAGGGCTGGTATCCACGATCTATAAAGAACTTATCAAAGTCAACACCCAAAGAACAAGTAATCCAATCAAGAAATGGGCAAAAGACATGAACAGACATTTCTCCAAAGACCTACAAATAACCAATAGACACATGAAAACATGCTCAGCATCACTCAGCATCAGGGAAATTCAAATCAAAACCATAATGAGATACCACCTCACACAGGTCAGAATGGCTAAAATTAGTAAGTCAGGAAACAACAGATGTTGGTGAGGATGCAGAGCAAGGGGAAAGCAGTTTTATGCTCTTGGTGGGAATATAAGCTGGTGCAGGCACTCTGGAAGATGATATAGAGGTTCCTTAAGAAGATAAAAATAGAGCTACCCTATGACCCAGCAATGCATACTAGATATTTACCACAAAGATACAAAAGTAGTGATCTGATGGGCCATCTGGCCCCTAGTGTTTATAGCAGCAATGTCCACAATAGCCAGACTATGGAAAGAGATCCAGATGTCCACTGACAGAGGAATAGATAAAGATGTGGTATATATACAATGGAATGTGACTCAGCCATCAGAAAGGATGAAATCTTACCATTTACATTGATGTGGATGGAATCGGAGGTTATTATGCTGAGTGAAATAAGGCAATCAGAGAAAGAATTATCTCACGCATGTGGATATTAAGAAACAAAACAGAGGATCATAGGGGAAGGGAGGAAAACAGAATGGGAAGAAATCAGAGAGGGAGACAAACCATGAGAGGTTTAACAATGGGAAAGAAACTGAGGGTTACAAAAACAAAATAACTACAGTGAATGATTCCAGAAAATCTGTGCTGTGCAAAATGATGATAAAATCACACAAGTCTCTCAATCCCAAGAAAGTGAGGACTGTTCTTAGCCATCAACTCCTGATTAACATCATTTATAGCCGCCAAGAAGTCAAAACAAAGTAAAACAAAACTACAAAACAAAAGTTAAAAAAAAAATGTCAGAGTTTGAGTGGGAAGAAACAAGATGAAGAAGAAAAAG